ACAGCGAGAGAGGGAACACAAACGGGGAGTGGGAGAGGGAGAAGCAGACTCCCTGCCGAGCAGGGAGCCCGATGAGGGACTCGATCCTGGGACTCCAGGATCATAACCTGAGCCGAAGGCAGTCGCCCAACCAACTGAGCCACCCAGGCGCCCTGTATTTATTTTTTTAATAGAAAGAAGTAGCATGGTTTTACTAAGTGTCTGAGTACAGTGTTGGACAATCTTAAAATCCTATATTTTAAACCTCAATCAATGTATTTAAACTTTACCTTTCTGGAGGCAACGGCCTGGCTCAGTCCAAATAGCATGTGACTCTTGATCTTGGAGATGTAAGTTCGAGCCCCAAGTTGGATGTAGAGATTACTTAAAAATAAAATCTTAAAAAAAAACCCCTTCACCTTCCTATTAGTTCGTCAGAGCTGATTTTTAGAGGAAATTCGTGCCAAATAATATTTCCAAAATTAAGTCAAGTAATAATTATGTCCCCCAAGATTCCAGGAACAATATCTGGTTAACATTAAGTCATCCATTTTGGTTTTGAAAGTTTTTCATCTTGTTTTCTGTACAGAGAAGCAGTGTCAGCCCCAGGTTTTGTTTAGTTTTGCAGTCAAACACATTTGTCAAGAGTCTTCCATCCTTTAGGAGATTGGTAATATTTTCCTGTGACATGGGGAATTTTATCACTTACTAAAGTTTTGAATAGTAAAGACTTCAACTGATCTATGCATTTCAAATTGTTGGGTTTGATCTAGTTACAAGTGGAGAGGAAAAATTCAGTAACCATCAATAGCATCAAAAGAATGGTATATAGGCATTTAGTTTCCTTTTCCTTCCCATACAGTGAGGAAGATTCTAGGGTTAGTGTCTCAACTATATCTATATTATGTAAGGCTAAATCAAAGCCTCACATTTCCTTTACAGTACTGTTGCCTGAACATCACCACAGAGCGGCATCACAGGATTGGGAAGCAGTGCTTTTTATGAAGTCACCACACACATACAATCATAACACATCAGAGCAGAAAACACTTATTAACACAAAACAAAATGGCTTAAGGATTCAGCAACGCTGATCTTTCTAATTTTCCTCCTTTAGGAAGAAAGCACAAAACCTTTGAACTCATAGTCACCTCAAGGCTGAGGTTAGCTTGCCAGGAGCAGGTTTGAGAGATGAGCTAATATCAGGGGACAGATGTTTTCTTTTACATGTAACACCCCATTATGTATTGTTCTCCACCACCCACGCCCAAACGTCTATTCGACCTATGAAACAGACTGCACCAGAAGCACAGATAACCCCAGGCTTCAGGTCTGTAATCTGATCGTGGCCATCGGCAGCCAGAAATGAGTTTCTTTCTAATCAGCTTTCCATCAGTCCCCAGTCACTCATATAAAGGAGCCTGGGGAGAGGACGATTCTCATTGCTCTTTCTTCAGCACCGGGGTTCTGGACAGAGCCTGGAGCGGGCTGCTATTCCTACACCCCTTCCTCTCTCAGGCTCCACCAGCCCTGCTACTGCCCCTTTAGTCCCCCCTGCTGCAGAGAAAGAAAATTACATCGGGATCCATGCAGCCGGCAATGATGATGTTTTCCAGTAAATACTGGGCAAGGAGAGGATTTTCTCTGGATTCAGCGGTGCCCGAAGAGCATCAGCTCCTTGGCAGCTTAACAGTGAGTACTGAGTGGCTGGCACTCTAGAGGAGTGCTTTCTAGGGTAGCGATCGTCTTAGTCTTGCCATGTGGACACCTGATGTAGAGTAAGCACACACACCTCAACTCCTTCCTCTAGCATCTGAATACCCTGCCTCCCTCCTGTCTGCCTTCAGTCTTCCTTCTCTCTCCATAAAGTGGGTGTCCTGATCCCTGTGTTCTAAACTTCCTTTCCTCAAAGTTTATAAGTAGAAAGTAAAAAAGTTCCTATCCACCAAGAGTGAGAGGTTGTATGAACCAATGTCTTATATCTACAACCAAAAAAAGTATGTAGGATTTCGAAAGGCCATTTATTATGAGTAGGAACAGGGAGAAGAAATTAAATAGATTTCTTTGGTTCCCGCAAGACAATTTTGTCTCCTATAGCCCTTCCCATCTACAGAGCTTGTTCTTTAAACACAGAAGTAAGGTTTTTATTCTTGCCTAGAAGTGTTGATTATTGAGATAAAATAAAGATCGGTTCCTTTCAAAAGTTTTCCTGCTTTCCTCATTACTCCATTTTTCATTTTAATTGATGAAATGAAAGCAATATGCCACTTATTTCAGTATTTAAGGCAGCTTTTGTATTTAAATATTAACAGGAAAAAAGTTAACATTTTGCAGGATTTTAGATCCTAATTTGAGGTCATAGTGATGGGATTTAATAAAAAAGACAGTGAACAACAACAACAAAAAGTATTCAGATTCCTAGTCATTAAAAATATTAAATGCTATTTCATTGCTGTAACGGAGTTTATCAAACCAATTACAATTCAGTCTGTATCATAGAAAATTCTGTTTTAATAGCATAGCTCCAAACATGTGCCAGAAGGTTATATTGTACTGGTGTATTATTACTGCTAGAAATGTTGAAAAGTAATCAGGGCATGTATTTAAACTTTACCGTTTAAATCAGTTTGCAGAAATGAGACCAGAAATGTAAATAGATTTTTTTAACATCCAAACATCATGAATATGTGGATGAGATATTACATTGAGGAATTTTGAAGTCATAATGAACTGCTAGAAGGAAAACAAAGAACTCAGAGTTATGGTTAATGTATGACCCTTTCATATAAAAAAGCCTACTTAAATATCTAAGAGCTGTGTGTTATGTGGTGGGAAGAGGACAGATGTTGAGAGTGCGGAGACATTTGAGCTTTTAATGACTAAACATACTGTCAAATGCCAATGTCTGCATACACTTCTCTCCTTCAAGTCATAACTAATCAAATATTCATTTCCGTGATATAAAAATCTAGTGAGTGAGGCAATGGGAAAATGTGACACACGTGAAAAGAAAGGCAGTGGGGAAATCAGAGGAAGACAGTGGCAAGTCCCTATTCACCGGGTTCCGTATCACATGTACTTTTCTCAGTTTCCTGAGGAAGTGATAGACTGGTCCAACTGCACTGTACTACTATTAGCCAGGGAGAAACGTCTCTGTTTGCCCGAGTCTTCGTTTGCATATAAAGAACACAAAAAAGTACACCCTAACGTCACTTTGTCTTTTAACTGAAAGTTTCCAGCTTTTTTATTTGGTATTTCGGACAGTGGGATCCAAGTTTCTGAAATCTGCTGTTTTTGTCTTTAACCAATAGGACTAAGAGTCATCACTTCTGTATTATAATAACTTGAGTAGCTAATGAAGTGTTAATCCTTTATAGTTTCTCAGATTTTACTCTTTGCTTCTAATGGTTAGCTAGGTTTTTTTTTCTCTTTCTCTCTTTTCCTTCCTTCCTTCCTTCCTTCCTTCCTTCCTTCCTTCCTTCCTTCCTTCCTTCCTTCTTTCCTTCCTTCCTTCCTACCTTCCTTCCTTCCTTCTCTTTCTCTCTTTCTCCCCTTTTCCCTTCCTCCCTTCCTTCTTTTTTCTTTTATTTGTGGCTGGATTTTAACAGCCACTTTTCAGGAATCCTCTGCTGACACAGATGGCCTTAATTGAATATGCTTCCCTGTGTTGAACTTCTGCAGATAGATTCACACTGACAATGTGGATCTAATTGCAGAAAGTGAGGTTGTCAATTTTAGGGCGCGTCCTGACATATTTCAGAATGAAATGAATATTTTGTTTTTAAGATTAAATGGAAACTATAATTATTGTTGTGAAATATATGTTTGGTCTTATTTTTGTTATGTTAGTTATTAATATAGTTTCCATATTATGCAACCAGGCTAACAGACCAAATTTCATGCTGTAAAATAAACCTAGAAAGTAAAGCAGGAAGTGTCATATATGAGACTTTATACTTTATGATGGTCAGATTTTTGTTGCTATTAAATAAGGTGAAGCAAATCTGATCCCCCTTTAATTTCAACCACCAGCTATCTTAGAGCACTGGAAAATAGTGTCCCAGAGTAAATTAGACTGGTATTTATGATCGAAAGTTATGAGTGATGTGGCAACTTTGAGTTTATATGATTGCTGACGCTTCTAGCATATGAATGGAATATCTGACCAAAAATCTAGTTATGAGAACTCTGGGATCCTAACCAATGTTTTTGTGTGTGTGTTTCTACCTTCTTGAAGTTAAGTAAAGCTAACTCTGGCAAAAAGGATGATAAAAAAAGCAGCAAGGGAAACAGCAGAAGTGAAACCAGTCCCGAAGGCGGCAAAACAGCTGTGGTATTCTCACTGAAAAATGAAGTTGGCGGATTGGTAAAAGTGTTGAACCTCTTCCAGGTGAATGTAAACATCATTACCTAACCTTAAAAGTGACTGTGTGCCCAATGACAAACCCGTCCTCTGCTGTGAAACGTTACTGAGTCCATTTCCGGGTAATGTGTTCAAAGGTTCAAAGAAACCAGATTTCATGAAGCTTTATAAGGAAAGTTTGTCTGCCAAGCAATGAAATAGGCAGATTTGTGTCAACTACGTTTTATTAATTCCAAGTGAATCTACTAGTAATTCCGCAGACTATCGTCAGATAAGAAAGTCAGTAATTAAAAAATGTGAGCCTCACCCCTTTTGTTTGGCAAAAGGAGCCAAAGAGGGTATCTTTAAATATCAAGAGACTGCAGCCTGATTTGATTTGTTAACATCTGAATTGTGCACATGTCGGGGAGCACATTTATTGCATCAAATGAGATGCATGAGTAGAGGCATTTGGTAAATTCCCCTGAGCCTCATTTTTGCATGAGCTTAACATGTTTTTTGGGGAGATGAGTCACTCTCCTCCTATCGAAGCCAGGGCTAGCTCTCTCTTTATTTTATAGAAATGTAGTAGCCTTTTTTCCAGGTCCAATTTGGTGGCTTGAACCCTCAAGAAAGAGCCTGGTTGAGGGTGAGGTTAGAGAACCCCAGAAAAACTATTCCCTTCTGGCCAGGGCAGACCTGATAGCTACCTTACCCTTCAGCAAGCATTGTGCCTTACAAATGCATTTTGTTTGGGGAGCGCTGGCTGCTGATTTGAGCTGTAAGATAGGGAGCCTAGCTCTGCGTGGTGCCTGGGGCTGCTGGTACAGCGGAAAGATGATGGGAATTGCAGTCAGAGGAGTCAGACCTGTGTTCTCCTGGCTTGGCTAACCACTAGCTGCTTCCTAGCTTCCATTTCTTTATTCGTAAAATAGCAATCATAATTCCTACCTAACAAGGTAGTTGTGATGCAGTAATATGAGTGAAAGTGCCTTGCAAAATGTACAGATATGAGGCCTCTATTGTGATGTCTCTTTGATGACCAAAGAGGGGGAATTAGCAGCCTGATATGGCAAATATTTCCCTGTTCTCTCTTGACCTGGAAGAAAGGATCAGATACCATAAACAGTGGTAATGGAAATCTGGGGAAATATTTTACACATAATTATATCATCCAGTGCTGTCTCCACTCAGTGCCCCAAGGCAGGCCAGAATCCCTGGAGAAGGAGTTAGCAGCCCAGAGTTTTCACATGGCCATCAGCTAGTCATTGGGTCTTAGCTAAACCACTTAACCCATCTGGACCTCAATTCCCTTGTCTAAAAATATCTACTCTGCTTCAACCAATGGGCATTAAATGCCCAAAGTGACACAATGTGTGTGAAGACTCTTGACCTTAATATTAGTCTTACCTTTATTATCAGCCAATTTAGAAAATATGGTGTGACTGTGAAGGTTAATAAAAACAAGACTAGAGCATCTAGTTTCCCGGTCACAGGACTAGTTTCTTTATACAGAGGAGGATGCTGTTTGATTTGATGTTACTCTGCAGTGGGAATCGTATTAGGAATGTGAATTGATAATCACAGGATATCAGCTGGTGTGATGGGGAGGTATGGGCTTATTCAGGGGTAGGCTAGAGTGGAGATGAGAACTTAGTCTTCAGTCAACTCAGCCGAAAGGAAAACGCCTCACTGGGCAAGTTTAAACCTGATGTTTAAATATTAAATTGCTGCCCCCCCCCCCCGAATACCTTATTGTAAGGAGACTTTTACTCCTGAAATCCCTGGTGGGGTGATGGTTGTAACGATGCATCCTTGCATGAAGCTACTCTGGAGGTTGCTGAAACAGAACAGTTAATGAATGGTCCCATTGAGGTGTGTTTTTCGGTTGTTGTTTGTTTTGTTGTTTTGTTTTTGTTTTTGCCTGTAGAGATACTTTCTTGGCTGCTTTTCTTCCTTTTCTTTGGCTTGTGACTCCCAGCCACCTGCCCAGGGTCTGCCTCATTTGCCTACCATTTGTACTATTTACGTGTTTTTTCAAAGATTATTTTTAAACCTTAATTTAATGTATAGTGGAAACCTTATACCACTATTAAATCAGGGGTTGAGTTTTAGCTATGATTTTGGAAACATATGAAAATAAAAATATAAATTTGAGGATGATACGATGATGTGATAAGCTAATTTCCCCTTGCCCCCAACTAGCAATGCACACCCCCAGTGGGATGTGGACCGTGCAGGGAAATGATGATATTCATAATTATAATACATTTTATAGGGCCCTTTATATGCTTTTATATACCCTCTTCTTTTTTTAAAAAAAGAGACAGGAAAACCTACATACAGTCTCTATTCCAATTAACAGAGGCACTGGTTGAAAACATTTCCCATGTTTTAGTCAATCAAAGAGCAAGGAGATTGTTTTTTTCTCCTTTGTGGGTACTTGGTACCTGTTCTTAAGAGTTGAACAAGAATAGCCCTTGGCGTCCCTTTTATTGTGCCGTGAAGATGATTTAGAGATGTTGCTCATATTTCCACAGGAAAAACATGTCAACATGGTTCATATTGAGTCCAGGAAATCCCGGCGAAGAAGTTCAGAGGTTGAAATCTTCGTGGACTGCGAGTGTGGCAAAACCGAATTCAATGAGCTCATTCAGTTGCTGAAATTTCAAACTACAATTGTGACACTGAATCCGCCGGAGAACATTTGGACGGAGCAAGAAGGCAAGGCCAGCTTTTCCTTGTCGGGTGATTTAGCAATCTGACAAATGTTGCGAAAAGGAAAATACAATCTGTGAGCTAATATTTTTGAACCCGCACTGTGTTTTCAACAGAACTAGAGGATGTGCCCTGGTTCCCCCGGAAGATCTCTGAGTTAGACAAATGCTCTCACAGAGTTCTCATGTATGGTTCTGAGCTTGATGCCGACCACCCAGTAAGTGTCCAGTCAAATCCATTCCATACATGCTGGTCCAGCTCCACGCATGTGCCAGGCAGCGTGCCATGTTGTGTGCTTTATTGTGGAGCAATTTATTATTTATTCCCCATCCCTGAGAGCCAGCTTCCCAATGATAAAGCTTCCCTGTACATATGCGTTGGCTGGAAGCAGATTAGAAAGATGGCATTTCCACGTAACATTTGTTCTTAAAAGGGTTGGTTAGAGAAGGAGATTCTAAACCTTGGAGAATATTTCTGTAGCATTAGACAGTGTGAAATATACTTGCAGATGGTGACCCTTGGAAAAACGATGAACTGAAATTGATCACCCCTTTGAGAAACAAGGGAGGACTAGGCATTATGGGGCTCAGTAAGAGAATAAAATTCTCCTTGCTATTTTCCTTGACTGGAGGTAGTTAGGAGTAGAGTAATGCGGTGGACTTCAGTCTCAATGGAAAGGCAGAGAGTTTTAGAATAAGGTCGTGATGGAAAACACATCTCTTCCCACATCTACCCTGAATCTATTTACCGCTATCTCTCTTCTATTCCAATAAAAACGACCACCTTTAAAGAAATATGATACGTAGGTAAGCATTTCCCATTATTTCCTCCCTCCCCCTTTACATCAGTTTTTATTTGACACAAGAGACTTGGAACTTCTTTATGGTCAGAATGAAGTACAGTTAAGAGTCTGGGAGAAGTAAGCAATATACTCATTTGTTACAAACACTTTTTTTTTTTTCCCAGTGCCCCTTTCTACAAATGGGCAGATAAAAGGGTAAAACCCAAGCAGATCAGCCAGGCTTATAGAAGGGCTTTGTGGTCTGAGGTATTCCTTTTATTTAAATGGAGGAAATCTAGAAATCTGACGTGTGACTATTAACCTATGCAGTGGTTCTCCAAGCGTGGTCCCAGGCTTGGCTGCATTAGCATTATCTGGGAGTTTGTTTTAACAAACCTAAGTTTGAGAACCACTGCTAGAGAGGATCCTACAACATCTTTAATTAGAGGGAAGGTTTCAACCAAATTAGTCATTTGTTATAATATACCAATTCAGACCAATTCATAACATACCATTCAAGCAAATGGTCAAACAGACTTAATTCATCTGCATTATTTTCAAGAAGCTGAATTTACTCAGAGACACAGTGTGTTACATTTGCCAATCCAAAACTTCAGAATAATTCACAGTAAGTCACACATAAGGCTCCTGAACACTCAAAGTGCCTTTAAGAATCATCCGTTTGTTATTTCCCCCCTCCCCTTGCCCCCTGCTACTTTCAGAGGAGTCAGACTTCACACAGAAGCCTGATTTAAGAGATTAGCAGTAATAGGACTTTCCAGATACCAGCTGTTAACTTGCAGGATGACCTTGGGCGAGTCCCTCTACCTCTGCGCCTCAAATTCTTTATGTAAAAAGTGGAAATAAAATCCTTATTGACCTCCAAGGGGCATTTGAAAAGCCTAGTTAATAAAACAACTGGAAAGCATTTTGGCAAGAGTAAATGCCTAATCCCAGGAATGGAAATGCTCTATTAAATCATTCAGATCAATGCCTGGATAGTAAAGGATTTCTTGCGAACCTCCTATTTCCAAATGCTCCCCTTAGTCTAGTTCTTCAATTACTCAACCGGGAGAAAGGGGGTCAGCTTTGTTAGTGTAACAACCACAGGAACCAATGACCTTGTGAAGGAATTGATTCCGATACTTAGTGTAAATTTTCCTGTGTTTAATTCTGTTCCATTACTCCTAATTATACCCACCTTATGACGTCTCCTCTTATTTTCTGTGCAGCCAGTTGAAATAATCCCAAGTACTTAGCAATCTTCAACCTCTCTCATCATTTTTTTTTTTTTACCACATGTATTTCTTTTATAAGCACACCAAATGTTCGTTATGCAAAATCTGGTATTGGTAAGTTGATGTTTTTTGTAAGTTATTATTTGGTGAGCATGGAAAAAGTGGTCTAAGGACCTTTGGTGCCTGGGAATACTCCCAGTTCTGAGACAGGGATTACTGTGTCAGGATGGTGCCCTTGTACTAAGGTGGCTCGGAAGGAGCTGGAATGGGAGAGTCAGGTTGCCGAGGCTCCCTAGAAAGGGTTAAACATCTATCTAGGTCAGTGTCTCCCAAACTTTGCTGAACAAACCATCTGGAAGATCTTTTCAAAGTGCAAAGTGAGGTCCTGCGTGTTTAGTGAGCTCCCAGTTGAGGCTTATGCTGGAGGTCTGCTACACTTTGAGTAGCAAGGATCTAGATTGGGAGGGTCTCTCAAAGTGTGGTTCAAGGCCCAGCCATAAAGTGCTTATTAAAAATGCAGTTCCTTGGGGCTCATCTGAAGCCCACTGAATCAGAACTTTCAGGATGGACCCTGGAATCTGCATTTAAAAGAATTCGCAGGACATCTGATGAGCTCTAGTGTTTGAGAACTAATGTTCTAGCTCAGTGATTCTCAACATTAGCTTTCCATTCAAATAATCTGTGGGGAATTAAAAAAAAAATACTGAGGCCAGGGTCTCACCCCAGAGTGCTTAGATCATAACCTCTGGGAATGTGTCTAGGTTCAGAGTATTCTTTAAAGCTCCCCAAGGGATTCTAATATTTCACCAGGGTCCAACTATTTGGGATAGCTACTTGAGTGCCAACTCACACTTGGCTGAGCACTTTAGGGTGCTGGCTGGCTCTTCAGTTCCCCTTGATTTAAACTGAGAGAGGAAGGATGGGTGTGGGGCAGATACTGTCTGGGGATTAGCGTTGCCAGATTTAGTAAATACATATATAGGATGCCCAGTTAAATTTGAATTTCAGGTAAACAAGGCATCAGTTCTTAGTATAAGTATGCCCCAACTATTGCATGGGTGTCCTCCGTGTTATCTGGTAACTTTATCCCTGCCTTCAGTCCAGAATAGATGGCCAAAGAATGCTCTGTCTCTGTGATCACTGGTGTAGCTAGCGTCCCTGTTTTATTTTGCTAGTCCACAGTTCAATCTTGGCAGCTGTGGATCGCCAACGACATTTGCATAATCACTGCCATACTAGGCTAATGAGGCATGTTGAGTAAATCACTCTCTTGCATGCCTGGAAAAGGTGCAGGTGTTTGCCAAGGAGAGACAGTCGAGAACCTTCAGGAAGCCCAGCCGATAACGATGCTTGCAGGGTGATGTCTGGTTTGGCAGGAACTGGGGAACAGGTGCTGTGCTTTTCATATGACTCTTTGCCTTTTGTCATGGCCTGCTTTCCTTCTGAGTAATAAAGGTGCTTGGAACTCCCGTTTTGCTCTCCTAGGCGGCCCGATATTCCTAATGACTTGAAGCTCGTACTTTCTCCTCTAGAGCAGGAGACCTTCTTTAGGTCACAGACACATTTGGGAATGCAGTAGCTTGGTCACAACATTTTGTGTGTACACATTTTAAGGCCTCGTAAGCCTGCCTGTGAACCCCAGTTTGAAAACTCCCAATTCATAACAGAGGAAAGAAAGTGCTAGCTTCTCTGGCGGGCATACTTCATTTCTTCGGGGTGTCTGGGTGATCTCAGGGTACTCTCTCTCTGTCTCCCACTGACAGTAATGCTCTTAGAGAGAAAGGCTGTTAGCAGTGGAAGTTCTTTATCTCAGCCCAGCAGACAGTCCTCAATTCTCCTCAGTTCTCCTTCAACCATACAAGAGAACAGAGTGATTTTCTCTGTGTTTGAGGTGCCTCCTTGAACAGCCCACTTTTGCAGAAGCGTGTAAGCCATAGCAGAGGTAATCTGGGCTTCCGTGGGTCTGTCTCAGCTCTCCTCTCAGAGCCCGTGATCCCAGCGGCCTGTCTGGCCCAGCCTCCATTCTCCGCTGCTTCCTGGTTACGCTTCGAGCTCACAGGGTTGCAGACATAAGAAGTTAAATGGAAACAATTCCTTCTGGGTTTCCAGCAGTTTGAAAAAACCAGCCCAGAAAGAATTGATTGAAAGTACCTGAAGGAAAGGAAAGTGGAAGGTCTGTTGACAAGAGGAGAGATTCTTGAGTAAACCAGGAAGTTCCTCTCAGGAGTATTCCACTTGACAGAACAATGACAGTCAGGATGTTTAACTTCCCAAGTGCATGATGACGGACAGAAGTCTTGCAGTTCCTAAAGACTAAACAGAATCAAGGGGAACTCAGAGTGGAATGGAGCTCACTTGCTACCCTGTGCATGAATCCCTTATAATCGATTTTGCATTATGTGGCTATTCTCATAAAAAACAGCAAAACCTCTTTAATCCATGCTAATTTGGGGGATTCAATGATTATTCTGAATGATAGAATTTTTAACAAATGTGCATTTATTGGCTATTTACCCAAAGCAATTACATTTAGGTTAACTTACTAAATAACCATGTTAAAGGGACCTGTTTTAATGAACAGGATAAGATTAACTCGTGATTAACATCAATTACACGTAAATGATACTTGAAAACCAAAGATGCCATTCACTTTAGCCTGAATTCCCATGCATCCCAAATTAGTACAACCCAAATGTAATGAGGTTTTACTGTAAGGCCAGTTCGCTTCTGCCTGTGCCATGAAGATGGTCATCCAAGGATAAAATTCACATTTGACTCCAACACTCAATAAACACCACGGTGATTTTCTTTCAGGCCTGCTGCGGCGAATTTTTTGGCACTTTGTTAAATAACTTAATCTCTTTTCTGTTTAAGGGATTTAAGGACAATGTCTATCGACAGAGAAGAAAGTATTTTGTGGATGTGGCCATGGGTTACAAATAGTAAGTACCTGTGTAACTCTTTTCTGCGACTTGTGGCCAGCTAATTAGGGGAAACCTGCTGTGTTAAACAGACCCGCCTTGTCTTCACTTTAACTTTTGCAGAAGGCAGACATGAACCATTTTAAACCCTCACCAACCTGGTGGAGTTTAAATGCCAACGCTGATGTTTCACATCCAGGTGTAATTGTAAAATAATGAGACCCACAGGCCACATGCCAAGCACTCCATTTTCACCATTGTGTTTGCCGCTCTGCCAAGGCATGGGGCCATTTTCGTATATACGCTGCAGGGTCCGGAAAATGTGTTTGAATTGTACTTTTGATTTGACTTGTCAGTAACCCCCTTCAATGTCCAGCTTCCCCGGTGAAAGTAGAAGAGTCAGCAGGAATGGTGCAAGGGTTCATGTAAGCAGCCTTAATAGAAAATAAATGTGTTTGCTCTACATGGAAAGGGAAATTCCCTGTAAACTGGAGGGCTTATGGGAGAGGTTCATACCTAATCCCAGATCCCGATTGGGGTGAAGTTGGAGAACCTCAGGACTGGGGTTAGCACGGTGTCTCGTGCATGGTGTGTGACGGGATGTTTGAGACCGGCCGTAATGTAATGTGTTGACTGCAGGAGTGGCTATTGGCCTCTGTTTATTGTGCTCACATTAATAAAACGTGTAGACCCTCCTGGCGCTGCCTTTCCTTTGTCTGGTATGTGATCAGTTACACATACCATGTCTTCCGAACAAAATGTAACTCCATACCCCATAGGAAAGGGTCTTTCTTATTTTAGTTGCGAATAGGTGAGAAGCTTGACTGTCCTGTGCGGCAAGTTTGTCTAGGGTGAGTTTCAGACATTTTGTGTGTTTTAGAGAGTATCATCCTTTGCTTTTTTCTCTTCCTCTTTTTTTTTTTAAAGAATATGACACACAAGGGCTTAAAGCCAAGTCAAAGGATTCCACATCACACCTCTGACCGAGTCAGTTGTGTGCTCATTTCTAACTTCCTTTCATGCTTTGGTGCTCTTTCCTTCTTCCTCCCAAGCCCCAGGCATCCTTCATTCTTTCTCCCCCATGTTTATGATCCTAAAACCCAGGACCACTTGGCACGTGCTTTTCCACACGAGTCTACTCCATTTTTGTTTTCCTCTGTTCCAGGCAGCTTCTTGACTGCCTTTAGCCTCCTGTGGCTTTCTCCCCCGCTCACGATGTCAATGTGCACAAGGCTCATCCTGGCCCAAGCCTCCTTCCCACCCTCAGCACCATCACTCACGAACACCATCTCCCACTGTTTCCCAGTCAAATTACCAAGAGAGGACCCTGATGGGCTGGGCTCACTTTTTCACATCAGGGTCTGATAATTGATTATGAGCCTTCAGCTTGGCTCCCCTTGCTTCACAGGTTGTCCCTGGGGAATCAGGTCATACATGGGTCCTTAGAAGGGGTGTGAGCAGGACTGGCCTTTAGGGCATCACCTGCCCACGACATGATAAAAGCTCAGTGCTTGGCAGAGCTTTTTTCTTTAGGTAGAACAGATGGATAAGTATGTATTTTATGCATAGATGGTGTATGTATTATACCTATGTAAAAAATATATGTATGTATGTGTGTGTGTCTATAAAGAATTTTGATAGCATAGTGATCAAGGAACTATCTCAAATGTTACTTATTTCTTCTTGAAACAGCCCAGAAATGGGTCAAGACAGGCTGATATTGTGGTGACACTCACTTTCAAGGGGCATTGACCATGGGGACTCTTTTGGTTTTAAAGAAAACATACTGATAGGGGCAGAAGAGGAAAAAAGCATATATCAAAATGATGGAGGGTGAAGCTCTCAAAGCATTAACAGGAGTTTGCGTTTGCCACCTTCCCTCATCTAAAGAGGAAAATCGAAGTGCAGTGTCTGTGGAAAGCAAAAGTATAAATTGGCGGTTGGAAATGGTAGAGATCTTTTTTTTCCTGCAAAAAGCTTTATTGTTTCTGTTTGGTCCACTACTCAGGAGAAGGCTCCAGGGTGGCTAAAAAGCTGCCTCACGGCTGCAGGAAGAAGCTCAGGCAGGAGCCCTGGCACCAGGGGGATGCCAGAGGGGCCTCTCAAAGGGTGAGCCTTTGGAAGAGACACCCACACGGCCCAGCCTCGGGGGCCGCCAGCCCGCGGAGTTAGCCAGGTGGTTGCCATCTTCTTGCTGAGTCTCACCTGCTCATATAGGAAGTGGGTCTTCAGGAATCACAGAGCTGGGGGTCTGCGTGGGCAGAACCTGGGCACTGCAGATCTAGAAGGGCCTGCTTCAGGCTCTTCTCTAGAACCGCAGCAGCTTCCGTGGGATGGCTTCTGGGCATCCTGGAGGAAGGCCTGGCTGCTGTGTTTTTACCTCTACAAGAGGTGCTGGGCACCCTCATGATTGTCCTTGGCCAATTTGGGGAGGAAGTGGCCCATGCCTTCCAGAGCCACACCAGCGTGATAGAAATAGAAGCCCAGAGAGAGGTAGGTGCAGGAGGCCTGCAGATGACCAGGCTGTTGACGGTGGCCTCCACCTCGGGGGAATAATTCTGACCAATCTGCGAGCTCCTGGTTGGTGGCCAATAAGGAAGCTAAGCTCAAAAGATGGCACTCGCTGGTTCCAGAGGCTGAGGGTGGCTGAGAAGATGGCTCTGAACGTTATGACTGGAGAAGAGGTTGGAGGGTAATGGGAGGTGGGAAGGGGCATCCCAGGATCTGGCCCCTGTTTACAGGGCTGGGGAGTGCTTAGGTTCAAAGGCCCTCACTCAGTAAGTAGAGGTTCAAGAGGCTGAGGTAGGCAGGAAACTGCCAATTCATCATTTTACAGAGAGAAGCTACTCTCATACGATTCACAAAAGTCCCTGTTGTCATGACCCCATAAAGGCTAAACATTACCCTGATGGTGATTTGGTGGCAACAGAGTCAAAGCAAAGGGTGTTTAACGAAGAGAGTCTGGAATCCAGGGGCTTTATAACCTTCTCCCTGGACAGTGCCGGGTCTAGACTGACGACCTCCAATAGCAAATAGATGAAAAACAACAAAATGATTACAGCATTGGAGCCAGCCGGTCTGGGGTTCAAGTCCTGGCTGCACGGCTTCCTCGCTGGGTGATCATCACCACTGGGCCTGTTTCTTCATCCGGAAAGAGCGTCTCCACATACGTGTGACCCACCTCCCGGGGTGGTCGCAGGGCTTGCCTTGCTGTGCCTAGCACAGGGCCTGGCACGTGGTTTGTGATCGTGCCACTCAGTATCAGTACATCTTCCCCTGCCCCTTTTCCACGGGCTGTCTTCCGTTTCCAGTTGAACTATTGTTGTATTCTTTAGCTATGTTAACACCATTGTTTATGCTGCCACCTTAACAAATACTGTAGCTCCAACATCCCTAGCAGTCATCCTTGGATGAAAAGTCCTCCGGTTCCCCATTTAAAGACTGTTCCCTATACTGAAGCATTTAGGGCAGACCAACATCCTTCTTTATGGAAAGATTTCATAGAAAGCAATCATACCCGTATGTGTGTGTGTGTGTGTGTGTGTGTGTGTGTGTGTGTGTGTGTGTGAAGCTGCCAAAATACAGATACCAGAAGCACCAAGGCAACTGATGATCTGTTAAGTTGACAGAGGGGGGAAGGTGCCTAGCAGGGGTGGATAAATTTGGAAAGCACAAACCAAGGGCCTGTGGAAAGTAGAGAGAAAAGAATCATTCCTTAATGGCTTTTATGTCAATGCCGCTGTGGCTTCTCTCAGTAGGAGTTTGAGGATGGTTAAGGGCTAGCTATTTGTGTGTGTGTGTGTGTGTGTGCGCGCGCACGCGCGCGCATGCACGCACGTGCTCACACAAGCACACAGAGGGCTAGAGGCCAAGCTTGTGTTAGGGGCTGGTGGGTGTGGGGCACAGGTGATAACAAATCCCAAGTGGGCCTGGCCGGTTTGCCACGAAGTAAGTTAGGTGTCCTTTTCGTTCACGAAGAATAAAGATGCAATTTCTAATTGAAATAGGTATTTTTCTAGTGCTGATGGCTTTCTGAGAGAGCAAAGGAAAAGGATGTACCGATAAGTACTTAAAATAAGCTCATTAGAGTGGCTTCTGGCAGCATGCTGCAAACTGGTTTTCCAAACGGATGCTTGGAACCACTGGTCTGAGAAGCAGATTATTTGAAATTGAGGCGATCCTGAAAAATCCGGCATGTGAGGTCCCAGCAAATACAACTGGGTGATAAAACGAGAGACCATTCTGACACATGGAGAACAATTCAATTCCCTGTTGATAATTTGTTTAGGCTTTCTGGACCCCGAGCAGGTCAAATAGATGGTCGGAAATAGAGACGAAGATGGAGTCCAGATGTTTGGGGTTGTTGTAGGGATCGGCAGGCTGCAGTCTGAGGTGTCTGAAGGTAAGGGGAGGGAGAAAGGAATGAAAGACCGAATAACAGATATTGAAACCGTGGCCAAGAAGCCCTCCGGGGGATTCGTGTTGAATACTGTATTTTCAATGCTAGTCTTGAAAAGATAAAGCAGGGGGCGAAGAATCAACACAAGCAGAGAAAATGGAAAAATTCCAGTCTCTGATGAAAAAAACCAGCAGGCTCAAGCTCTGTCTCACGGTGAACCCGGAGAGGAGCGGGAGCCGGGAAGGCGGCCGCACGCTGAGAGCTGTCGATAGGGGGCACTCAGGCGCGGAGCTGATTGACAGCGCGGCCGAGAACAGGATTGATTACCCAGGGCCTGAGCCGCGTGGCCGAGAGTGTCGGGGGGAGGCCTAATTGCCTCACCAATAATGGCAGAGGAACCCGTCCTGAGTGCAAATACATTCTCCGTGGAAGACCCCAGAACGCCCGCCCTGGCTTGAGAGGGCACGGCTCCTGAATTCGCGTGGGAGAGGATGCACATCACACACCCTGTCCTCCCCGACCCAAATAATAGAAATTTTGGGGGGGGAACAAAGAAAGAAGTAGCTCGTGATTAGACGGTGTGGAGCGCATACAGACAGTTCAGAGACTATGCAAGTGCGTA